ACAATTCATCTCTTGCCCAACGTTGCTCGTCAGTAACAATAACGACGCGATCCTGTGTGGCGTGGAATCTCAAAGTCGGTTAAGCGAATATCGCGAAATTTGTCTCATCGCGGAGTCACTTTATCGTTTCCTTCAGCGGTTTCACGAGCGGACTGCTTGCAAGCTGACTTCTCGTCGGCGCAATGTCGAAGACGGAATGTTCGAAGAGAGAGAGAGAGAGAGAGAGAGAGAGAGAGAGAGAGAGAGAGAAAGAGAGAGAAAGAAAGAAACATGCGCGCACATAAACGCAGTCTACTGTGAGAAATCGAAATACTCGATTAGACGAGGAAGTACTTCAAGATTTTAAACATTCGTATTAAAGCACGAAGATTTCACGACTCGCCGTTAAGCTAAACGAGCGGCTCGTGGTGGCTCATGCGAGCAATGTTCTTCGCTTTCCGCTCTTGGAATTTGACGCTCCGTTAACCAAATGAATTCGAGTTACACCATCTTGAGAATCGGACAACGCGACGGAATACGGTGCTTTAATCAGCATAAACTAAATTTTCTCGCGTTCCGGCGGAGAAAATCCGACATGTTTCACCCGCGTCAACGTTCAACGGTCATCTTTATCGCGCGAGGAATTGCGACGTCGGCCACGCTGTTTCCACAATGATAAAGCTCGCGTGAGCTTAGCGCAATGAGACCACCGCACGCCCGGCCCTTTCAACGGGCAAACGTGACCCTTCCCTTCTTAACATGCCTTGATATAAAGGTCGCGTCAGTACAATACATATTGTCTCCCTTGGATATTTCATCCCCCAGCGGAGAGGACTCGGAATTTTCTCGCCGCTTCGATTCCGCTCTTACACGATACGGATGCAAAACATTCGAGAAAGAGAATCAAAGGAATAGAATAACAGCATATATCGAAGATGCATCGTCCCGGAACGTCATTGTTCGGAAGTTCCATTCCTCAAATGTATTTTCTTCGCGAGGAAGCAGAAAGAGGGAGAGATACAAATTGTGTTTTTTCATTCAGAGATTCTTGCAGAGATTCTCTGCAGAGAAGCAATAGAGGGAAATAGATAAATATACGTTACGCAATTTTGCTTTAACGTTATATCGAATAAAGCAAACTGCATGTGCGACGATGTTGACGAGAAAAGTCTCGCCGCAAATGAGTAAACAGTGACACATGTAGCCCAGATTAAGTACCAACGTTTCACGCGTCTGAAGATGATAAAATTGCAGCATGTGTGTTCGGAGATTGCGCGAAGTTGGTCAAACCTCTTCAATTTCGCGAGAGATGAACTTCGTGTTACACGTTGATACGAGTCTGAAATACTTTAGAATCCTGTCAGCTCCGCGACTATGTGAGATCTCCATCCGTGCCATGAATAAACGAGGCTGTCGTTATGGAAACAAATGCAGAAGAGAAAGCGCGATAACTTGGACTTTTGTGTAAATTAATCAGTAGCAGAGAAAATATCTATCTAATGCGCCCGCATATCCGTAATATTTCGCGAAATACGATTCTTTATTTGCGACTCTCTCATTGCAGGATTATTAATGTTTCTCGCTCGCTGAAATCGCTTTTAAAGCAAATATCGAAGATAGATTGAAACAAAAATAATTTTAGTACGAAATATGTTTCAGAAAAATTGCAATATCGTCCCTTGCGAGTAAGCAATTTATAGCAGGGGTTATATAGGGGTGATTTGAATAAAAATATATGAAAATTGGAAAGTTATGTAGAGGAAGAAAGAGAGAAAGAGGGAAGGAGAGAGAGAGAGAGAGAGAGAGAGAGAGAGAGAGAGAGAGAGAGAGAGAGAGAGAGAGAGAGAGAGAGAGAGAGAAGGCGTCAAAGATTGCATTACATACGATTCAAGTTGTACGACTGAAACTTTTTAATTTCTTCTGCTCGAGTTTGGGGAACGTGAAAAATGACTGAAAGTTTGGCTGAAATTGCGATTTGACTTTCAATCTTATTTCGTTACGACTTCGAGTGGAGAGTTAGAGCAGCGTGTTACACGTGAATGTCGTTCGGTAAAGCAGCCACGATGTTTTATTCCGCTATCGATCTGATTACGGAAGCACGATAATATTTCACGGAGCTTATTGAGTTTACCTGTTTTCCCCGTAACGCAATCGGTCGACGCAATACTATTAATTCCTCGCCTCGATATTAGCGCGATGAGAATGCATTATCGTAAAAGGAAACACCGCACGAATCGCATAATTTAATTTAGCCTATAAAAGTAAGCGGTAAAACTGTTCGCGGTCTTACCGCTCTTGCGCGTTTCATGGAATAACAGTTTGCGGCTCTTTCTCGCGCTCATAGGAAAAATGTAAAAACGGAGAATTAGCGTGTAATGTTCTCTGTTGAACTAACTATGCTAGGCGAGGTCAGTGTGTACACGTAGCGATCGCGGCCAAATTAATAACGTTCCAATCGACTCGATAAGGAAGTTGACGCGCATTATAAACCTATCTATTTTCTAACACGGCGAAATGAATTAATTTGCACCGCACCGTATACAACATATCGCGTTGCTTCATACTCCAATTATCAATATTGTTAACATTTAATTCTCATCTTGCGCATCTGTCGATCGGAAACTAGAGATGACATTTCGACAAGTTTTAATTATTGTAAATTAAAGTTCCACCGCGCGCATCCCCGTCGAAATATTTATTCACTCACGCGCGTTGCATGCTTATTAGATTAATATCGCGGAAGTTGCGTAATGCGGCGCACATAGTCGCATTCGTTATTTATGTTTTCCAGGTGTGACCCTGCGAATCTCTACGCTGGACGGTACGCCGCTCAATGTTTGCGGTGACCGATATTGGCCGGCTAGCCCGACTCACGCGATTCTTCCCCAAAAAGCTTTTACATCTCGCCGGCCAGCTAATTTCGCGCGGGGTTAATTAAGTTTTCGAGCGGCTTGCAGCGCAGAACGACCTGCGGATATCTAGCCGGCGTATGTGATTTGCGTTATTCCGCGCGGCGATTCCGCAGAGAGAAGGAGAGAGAGAGAGAGAGAGAGAGAGAGAGAGGCAGAAGCGGAGAGACAGTTTAATGAATAGCGATTCATTTATTGAACGTCGGCGTCGTAAATAGTTTAAACCGCCGTAGCGAGCGCGCTCGCGCGTTCATATCCATCGGACTGATGAAGGCGGCGGTGGCGTACGGATAAAAATTGATACGTGATAAATCAGGAGAGTGGCCAGAGCTAGCCAGCTCGTGCGAGGCGCGCGTTTACGCCCGAGGTGCGCTTTCAATTAGGCCATCGATAAAATCGAGCAACCTGTTATCCTCTCAGCGGCGTGTTCGTGCGCGCGCGCGTGTGCACGATGAACAACGCGGTGCAACGCGTCGAGATGCGCGAGTGCGTAATACGTACGCATGTGATAAATTAATACGCTCGCTTGGGAAGAACGCGCAGGTGACTCCCTGGGTGATCGCGGAATCGGAATCGGCGCCGCGACGTGTATTTGTTGAGTGTGGCGAGCGCGCGCGCGCGCGCGTGCAATTTGCATTTCGCGCGTGTGTCGGACGCGTCTAATTAAATTCTCCAGCCGTGTCCGGGAGGGCTATCCGATCGGTTGCGTTATCTTCTATTTATCGACCGGCCGGGCAATCGAGAGGAGCCGTGTTCGATTAGATGGCCCTCCGAGAAGAAACGACGATGAGCCTAATGTCCTCCGAACGGGAGAAAATTGAAGAGCGACGACTCGCAGCAGCGCAGACAGGAAACACGATACGCTGATTATGCGCCGTCAATATTCGTTACTTGAAACTTGTGTCACGTGATATGCTCGGGTTTGAATTTTACTGTTAAATCCGAATGTTTTTATTTCAATCGTATGATACGTGTAGCATTGTACTTGTAACCGCGATTCGACTGAAGAGCTCGCATCTAACTGTGCATTCAAACCTGAGTATCTCATTTGATTGAAGCGTCAAGTAACGATTATTAATAAGGACTTGAAAGCGTCAAATATACGCTTCTCCGAGTGTAGTTCTTCTCAGTCATTTATTGAACGTTCATCGACGTTCCGAGATGCGGATTGCTCGCGCGTTTACGAGCCGAGGATGCGCATATTCCGCTGCGCGTATTCAATCGCGTATCCTTCGCATGTATATATATATATATATATCGCATATGCATGTGTGCGTGATAGAGAAAAAAGCAAAAGTGTGCGAAAAGAAAGGCGGACGTTCTCCATCTTGACCGCGGCACGACAACTGGCGGCTATAAGTGAAAAGTCACGTCTGACATTATCGGTCTACACAAAAAGCGCGTAATTTAGGTAAATGAGAATCGATATCTATTCCGGGACACGTGCTAAGTGCACACTTTGACAAATGGCAACGTATTATGGAAAATGTATACCGCACACGAGCGTCAGCCAACGTTTATGTTTGCTAGACCGCTTATCGCGCACGGACATTTCATAATTAATTTCACTGACCTCCGAAAATTTGGCCTCGGATACAGTTAAATTTTAATTACGCGCTCACTCTCCGTTTTATCGTGATTATCCGTGTACAGAGTTATTTGATTGTTTTGTAAGAGTGGAAAATGAAATGAGGAAAAATACAAAGCAGTAATTCTCTCGTTACACATTACTTCTACGTCGTCTTGACATGTATCTTCCACGGTGTCAAAAATAACATTGCAAAAACATACGTAGATTTTCGAGAGTACATCTTTAGAATAATTAATACGCGTAGTGTCGTGTTAACTCGACTGAACGATGAGGGGACTCCTCTCGGTGCAGCAAAAGTCAACAGTCGCATTTTCCAAAGACGAAAGACGTGACGCCAGATCTTTTCCGCGCAATCTCGGACGCAAATTTGAAGAAATAAAGGAAAAACGATACTCAATCAACAAATATCACTGTACCGGGGAACGTCGTTCGTGATATTCCGCAAAGCCTGGATTCGTCATTCCTGTGAAATTCGATTTAACGTTTATCAGGAATGGCCTTTCCTCGAGGAAATTACTCACCCTCGTACGAACGAAATCCTGAAGGCGAACGAATCCCTTTGACACCAATGGGAAGCTGCAATCCCGTGAGATACACGAAGAGAAACGCGCGCGCGAGGGAGAAAACGAAAAACGACGCGACAATCCGATCGCAGTTTCCCGACGCACTCAACCACTGGATGTCTTGTGACCTGCGAATGGAGGTCAGCCGATTCGTTCGATTATCGGAGATCTCGCACCGTGCGCTGCTTCATCCTGTTTTCGTTTGGACTTCCTCCGGTCCTTCTCGCGAATACGATAAAAATGCGTCCCGTCGTGAGAATTAAAAATCCAATGCGCTCCCGTGATTTCTTGTTGTTAGGTATACGCTAGATCTTCAAGCGAGTGACGTGACGAGTGACGGGTACATCAGAAAATTGCGAAAATACTAAAAATCACGAAAACAATTTTCGTGAAGTATTTATGTGATCGTATTATAGTCACGAAAAAAGTTCACCGAATATTCGTTGTAATGTTTGGAGAAAAAAAGATGCGTATCTTTCTAGTGAAATTAAGCTCTGCATCTTTAATTAATTTTCATGATTGTAATATACAATTATATTAATTCGTTTCAGAAAGTTATTCATATTCCGTGGTTGCGTGGAAAATATTCAGCAGGATCGTTAATTGGTTCGTGAATTAACTGATATATTATTATCATATTTCTCCAGAGATTCGCGAGTGCACCATGCGAATATTTCTGTAATTTTAATCTCTCTGTCGCGCTTCCAGAGATTCTTTCGTTAAGCATAAATTATCTTTTTTTCGGATTTAAAAAAGAGCAACTAGGTAAATGTGGTTTGTACAATGTATGCAGGTAACGTGCGTTGTGCGCGTCTCTTCTCTCTGGATCGCGTTAATTACCAAGACACAATCTTATTAACCTTCAACAAGGACATCGTACAAGGTCTTGAATTATACATGGACGCGAGTACAATGTTGTACATCAACAACATGGTAAATGAGGTCAAAGAGGTAGGTCAGAATATGACCTCGGTTCTTTCTGACGTAAGGACATCGTCGTACTGATGAGCTGATATTCAAGTGAGACTAAAAAATTCAATGTTCTCTTCAGTTTATAAATATAAAATCTAGAATTTAAGCAGCAGTAAATTATCTTTAAATGTCAAAGACCATATTCGCACGTGCCATATAACACAATTGTCGTTGAATACTTCTCTCGAACTAAGTTTGATCTCTACTTTAATTTATATGGGAAATAATGATGCGTCTCATCTAGAATTTAAATATTTGCAGGTAAAGCGCAATGATTAACAGCTACGGACAATGTGCCGCGAACCAATTAACTTCCGCGAACGACATTTTATCACCGGTAATTCGTAATTCGTAAACGTTATTCGAATTTCCATACCACAATCCCGTAATTTGGATTTACGTTGCGCGCATACGGAAGCTAAATTAAAATACGAACAACGAATATTTGAAAAATCAAGAATGTATTTTAGTGAAGGGAGAAAACGTCGATCGTCTGATGAAAAATGAATGACATTTCGATCGTGTAGCTTGTTGCGCATATAACAGGCTAATCTGCCATTCGATTCTTCGTGTTTTTCGCACAATTCGGCGTAATTCCGTATAATCTCGCGTAATAATTCAACATGGATCAATGATGAAAACGACACAAAAATCTAAAAATAAAAACATTGCACGCACAATATTTTAGAATAAACAGTCAAGAGAAGTTATACCTTGTATTAAATTTATCAAAAACAACGTCGCTCGTGCGACGAAATATATCCCGATAAAATAAAATCCACGTCTAACGCAATTTCAAAAAAGAAAGATCGCCGTAAACGGAAATTCCATCGTCTTGATGTTCAGCGATGCAAATTAAATATCACTCTGCATGCGTAGAGCACAGTTGATCTCGCTCTCAACTTACTCGGCAACAATTCGATGCATAGAGAAAGAAAGAGGAGGAGGAGGAGGAGGAGGAGGAGGAGGAGGAGGAGGAGGAGGAGGAGGAGGAGGAGGAGGAGGAGGAGGAGGAGGAGGAGGAGGAGGAGGAGGAGGAGAGAGAGAGAGAGAGAGAGAGAGAGAGAAAGAGAGAGAGAGAGAGAGAGAGAGAGAGAGAGAGAGAGAGAGAGAGAGAGAGAGAGAGAGAGAGAGACAACCAAGATTATATGCCCTTAATTATCTTCGCGCTGACAGGATGTGCTGACAGCAAATAGAAAGTAGAAATATGACGCGATTCGTACAAACGATGTCGAGAAGGAGTAGAGGAAGAGAAGGGTAAAAAAATAGATAAACAAAACAAAAAAAAATTACCGAAGACCGAGGGAATCGCGGTTCCGCGGCAGGAACAATAGCTCGCTCGCTCGCTCACTCGCGCGCGTGCGCGCGCGCGATATCCCTTCGCGACACTCCTTCGATTCTCTTGGTCTGCTCCAATCGTACGGGAACCCGCGGATTACTCGTTTTCACGGAGAAGCGCGCATCAACCGCGGCATCACATACGATCCAGAAAGACGCGCGCGTAACGCCTAGTGCGAAGGAAGCGCAGCCACTGAGAACTGGGGGTTGTCGCGCGGTAAGCGCCCCCGGCAGGGGCTGCTAACCGCGGCTCTGCCAGGGGTAGGTGGTGGTGGCCAGGGTCGGTTCCTGTTCGCGCCGACCCTGTGGCACAGCTGGTCGAGCCGAAGAATGCCGGAGAGAGCGAGAGAGCGTTTCCCGCGTTTCCGAGCAACGACTTTCGTCGCGATTGTCCCTCGTTTCGCAAATGTTTCGCGGCAAAAGCAAGTTATTGCGCCGTTTAATTATATAAACGCGGAATGCTCCTTTGTTGCCTTCCGTTTTCGCTTTGTTCAAAAGAATGGAATGCCCGCGTTCTCTTCTGTCTGTCTCCGCCGAGAACATTCGCCTCGTGTTCCCGATGCGAACGTTCTTTAAACTTTACGTCACAAGTCCGAGTTTTCAAGTTTTTTTTCTTAAAGTAATAATCCAGATTTATCCTACCAATATATATAATAATCGCACGAGTCTCTTATCACCGTGAAATGTTGACAAACTTATCTCGCTGCACGGATCACGCCGCTCATCGAAACTGTCTACTGTGTCTTGAACTTTTCGCAACTTTGTCCGAACGCGTCCGCCCAAAACCAAACGTTACGAGAACAGAACCGTCGCTGGAAAGTACCGAAAGTTTTCACATCCGCGGCTCCATCCGTCTGCGGTCATGCGCCCGTCGGAAAAGGCAGATATATTTGGCAAAATCGCTATGACGACCGCGACCGTGAAACGCCGTTTTGGCGAACTCGGATTTTAACTTTGGCACAGTAACATTTAAACTACTCGATGGGGAAAGTTTTTTTTACAGTTGAATCGACTTTTTTATTTTCTGTAACATTTGATTTTTGATCGTATGTGGCGAATAACAATTGATAAAATCACGATCAAGAATAACGACAAATCGTTATTCTTTCTATTTGGCGTGTTTTTATTTAAGAATGACGAGGGTTAATAATTCTCAAGGAAAATAACGAATTAAAATTGGAAATTCAATCAACCGCACCGGCGATGTTTCATCGCGGTATCTGCCGCTCACATGCGAAATTTTCGTGGGAACGGATGAATATGCGAGTGGACGGCGGAGACAGACAGTCGTGATAATGTGCATCTCGTATGCATCGGCAGCATATGGTAAAGACTGAATTAGCTTCAGCTGAATGCTGACGTCAATGCGTCTTTTTCTCTCGAAAACAAAAATCCGGCCATCGGGATGAAATAGGATGTGCCGCCGCAGCGGGGACTCCACCGGTGGTTCGGGATTAAAACTTGTTTCCGTATCAGATTCGCAGTTTCGCAGTGAAAACGCGTTGATATAAATTTCGCGTTTCGTTGCGAGAGATGAATTTCCAGCTTAAAATCACTTCGTCTATAGTTATAATTTATTGCCGACTTCTGCTTCCCTGTCCCCTTATCAAAAAGAAAAAAATAAAAAAAAAACAAATAAAATCAAAATCAAGTTGTCAAAGATTCTTTTTAACCAGTCGATGGAATAAATTGCGGTTTAATCGTTATTAAACGGATAGGAGTTTCTCTATTTCGACATTATCGGTGTGCGGTCCACGCGGTTCTGTGAGATATTTCCGCGTAAATATCACAGTGGATATTTTCCTTAAAAAATACATGAAACTTACTTGTGATATTATCTGCAATTATTTGCGCATCGAAATCCCGTCCGCTCAATCGAAATCTGAGGAAGACGCAGCGATCTAATTTCCACGATAACGCGCGATAACTTTGCTCGACACTCCCGACACTCCCGTACCGCAAGATGTTCAAGTAGTCTACGACTACTTGGCAATACTTTATTACGCTCGGATGCACTAAACACTTTCGGCACTTCCGGCGATAATTTGGTCGCGAAACTGACAAACGAAAATCACGAGAAATACGGAACGACTTCTTAACCGATGCGTCACGATCATAGACGTATAATAACTAGACCGCGCATTCGGCCGAAAGGTCGTCAAATATTAGAAAGAGAGAGTATGTTTTGCGGTATCATTCTGTCTTCGTCTGATAATCTTTGGAGTGGGGATTATTATTTGTATCGTTCCGCTCTCCTCTACCTTCCTTTTTCGTCCCCCAACCAAAGGCTTCTTCATCCTACCACGCGTCTTTAGAAAAAGACAGAATAGTACCCGTACAGCAACTATCTCTTTCTAATTTCTGACGCGTTCTAGCAAAGGAAGATGTTGAGCCCGCGCGGTCTAGATATTATACATCTGTGGTCGCGATGCGTTCCGCAAGTACGAACTGAAGGTCGTAGCGATTGAGTTTCTCGAAATATGTGTCAACAACGCTAAGTATTTTTTTTGTTCGCCTCCGCGGCGGTTGGATGTGGTTGCCGTAATTACGCATATTTTTGATCTTAGGGACTGCGTACGCGTTGTCCCTGTTTCTCTTTTATTTCCAAAATCGTTGTGATTGGCGTAAGAGAAGGAGTGTAATAACTCTGCTCAGAGCCATATATTGAATGAATGAATGTAATCAACAACGCTCTGTCGCATTCACGGTGATTGAGATATTTGTAACGTATACGTTCCATATGTACGAAAAGAATGTCGCAATGATTGAGACATTTTCTACGATTATTCGCGTGTCAGATTCTCATCTAGATCGATCGGAGACTCAAGATGCACTCATTTAACCTTGAAATCGCAATAGCGCACGATACCTCTCGACACTACCGATACATCCATAGACCTCGAGATACTCGTTATCGGCGATTTGACGGTATTTTACTATGCCCAAACACGCGAAATGTTTATTCTCGGCACTTTCGGTGATAATTCGGGCGTGAGACTCACCTATGACCCGCCAAAATCGTAAAAGACACAGGACGACTTTTGCACCGACCCGTCGCCATCCTCCGCACGAACGAAATGAACGACATAGTGATTGAGTTTCTCGAAGTGCGTATCGACGCGCTGCTACGTTCACGACGATTGAGATATTTGAAACGCCTACGTCACAGGTCACATGACCACGTCGCGGCAGTTGCTACCGTTCCGCCATTGTTCGAATACGCTCGCGGCTACTCGGTGTTCGCTGCGCTTTCACCCTGTGTAATGTGAGTTTCATGTATGAACGAGTGTCTACAATGTGTCGAATTTGGTGACGGGCAACGTGTTTAGTGTATCAATCGGCTCTTCGGAATGCGATTGAACACGATGCCAGTCGACACTCGCGATGCACTTTGCTTCCCGCGTACGAGTCATGGCGTCGTAACGAGTAAGTGCAACGGGTTCATACGAGTTCGTCGTGCCTTCGAACCGGTGCAATGTGAGTTTCGTGCGCGGGCGAGTGTCGGGATTCAGTCGAATTCAGTGACGACTTGAGCGACTCGTTGAGTGCATCACTCGTCTCGCCGAGCACGATTGAGCGTGATTTCCGCCGATATTCGCGACCGGCATGAGCGGCATCATACAAGTAAGCGTGACTTATGTGTACATGTCGTGTGCATATGTGATTAGTGTCTAACGTGTGTATGTGTGACCACAGCGTCTACCGTGTTACGTCGTGACTATGAAGATACATGAGTGCCGTATAGAACGATGCATTCAACGACCCGAGATGTTTCGGGAGATTCGACATGGATTATGTCACCCTTTCGTGCCTCTGTAAGTCTGTACCCATTGTGTTTATATGCAGTGCTGCAACGGGTCGATCTCATTGATACTAACGACGAAACAATTAGTCGTTAAGGTGGTAGGTAAAACAGTCACGCGACTTCGTGGGAGGTTAGAGAGAATTCTGATGTTACCGATCGCGTCGATCTATTACATCGAACCTCCTAACCTAAAGTGTGCGATTAGTATCTCAATGTTTCGTGACGTATTTACATCTTGGTAGCATGTTTATAAGGTCAACTATTCATAGAGAATATTCGGCAGGAAATTAAATAATTAGATAAAAGGTTCCGTGGTATACCTTGTGGTATTTAGTAAGATCAAGAATTATTTTTGTTTTTATCTCAATTTGTCGTATCAATTTCTTGATGTAATCTAATATCGATAGAGTCACTCGTTAAAAAATTAGCGCAGACAAGTAGCAACCGTAATGATCGTAACGACGACAAAATTGCTCGAGGAGGCTTCGAAGTCACCTCAAAGACGAGAAACACGAGTCGGCTAATCGTCGGTCGGGCTTATTGCCACAGGATTATCGTAATAATTGCTCGATATTAATCACACAAATGGTATATGGATATAGCGATTATGCGACGCGTATGTCGGCCTGCACCTGCTTGTCTTAATGTCTCGACCAAAGTTACGTATCTCTCCGAGTAGTGCATTTCTGCCGATGGACGAGCTTCGTTATTTGCGTTAACTCTTGCACAAGTTGGTCCACTTGGCATTATACACTTGCGCGCGACGAAGTTTCGGTGGCGCGTAGCATGTGCTCACGATAAAATTGCATCCGTTGTTCGGTCGTTCTATAGAAATCGATATGAAAAATACGAGAGAGAAACCAAGCGGTGCCATCGTACGCGCGTGATATTTGGCGTTTCCAAGATTTCGCGCTCGAGGGAAGAACTATCCGATTTTGACAAACAATGGTTTCGTCATAACGGCGAACTCGAAGCGGTGGAAAAAATCGGAAAGTCAATAAATAACGCACGTTATGCGCGTTAGAGAAAAACATTACGGTCGAGGTGTGAGATTTATCTCACACTTCCGTATTCCGATCTCTAATTAACGATTAATAACTGGTAATTACATTCGATCCGAACCTCGACACGTCACGCGATGTTTGGTTTCATATTGAGTTATTGTAAATATTTTATTTTCGCCAAGCAGACGCGGTACTCGCCTCGATTTCTTCTTTATCTTTTCGAAAACCGATTCGTTTATGCGCAGTTTTATAAATATTATACCGGCGCGGCAGCAGAATTTAATTGACTCGAATAATACTATGACTGCTCCGTGGACAAATAATTGGGTATCTTATTATTTTCTGGGGTATCTAGGACTTAAGGTTGGGTCAGG